CAACCCATCTGCCTTTATAATACCAAGAACTTTCCACACGGGTTTATACAAACCAAGCAAACTACAAGCATAAGAATAGTGTGAGCCCCAATGGGTAGAAGCAGGTCGTCTTAAAGTAGTCTGCTGATTACCTCCAATACTTGTTTGTAATTCACCTCTTTCCATTAAATTTTTAACTTCTTCCCTTTGTGCAGCTCTTAGTTGTTGATTCCGCTTAGGAGAAACACGAACCAAATTCACAATGTAATTCAGCATCTGAAAGAATAACTCAATGCCAGATAATTCGCCTGATGCTGCAACTAATGCAAGTTGTCAGCGGTGAGCAAAGCAATGAACATAGTATACATATGGACATTCTTGCAAAAATAAACTTTGTAACCCACTCCATGCACCTCGCATATTGCTAGCCCCATCATAACCTTGTCCTCTTATATTCTGTGCAAGCAATCCATTACGATCAAGTATAAGTGAAGACATCTTTTTGAGAGTTTGTGCGGTAGTGTCTTCAACCCCTATTACATCAAAAAACCTCTCCCTAATAAAACCATTTGCATCAACAAATCTTAACACAATAGCCATTTTCTCACAATTGGATTCATCTCGAGATTCATCAACTAAAATACAAAACTTAAAGTCACTAATTTCTTCACAAATCTTTTTCCTCACCAAGTCACCCATAATTTCCATAATATGATTTTGAACCATCGGTGAAGTATAACTAGCATTCCCGGAAGTATTTTCTAAGATAACTTCTACAACTTGCACATTAAGAGTTGCACTATATTTGAGCAATTCAATAAAGTTTCAACGATTTGCTGAATCAAGAGATTCGTCATGCTCTCGAAGAGCACATCCTTGACATACTAGCAACGAATAGCATTAATCGTAGTGACAACACGCAAGTGATTTTTCTTTATTTGAACTTCATCTTGTAAGGTCAAATGTTTCTTAATATTATGAGATGGCTTTTTCAAAGCATCAAGCATTAAAACATTTTTTGAATGTATTGATCATGTTTCTCCTTCATGCACTCGAAAATGATTATCTTTTCCTCCAGCTCTCTTCCAACTATTAAATCCTTTCGAAGTCCAAGCTTCTTGTTTATGTAGTTGGGAGGAATTGCTCTCAAAAAGAAAACAAGGTAAGCAATATGCACGATCAGTTGTTTCAGAATATCCTAACCAAGCATAAGTCTTGAACCAATCATGTCGAAAGCTACGTCCGTCTTCATTTCTTGGATATTCTCGGAGGTTTGGTTGGCATGGCCCTATTGCTATGTAACAACGTCGAACCTCATCTTGTTCTTTATATGGATATTTCTATATTGCTTGACGTAATCCTGGATCATAATATACAGTATCCTTGACCTTTTGAATTTTAGGAGGATGTTGCTCTTCTTCTTTATCATCAATTGTTGGCTCCATAGGCGGTGCCTCACTTGAAGCTCCAATAATGTCTTTTTTGGAATAAAATAAAAGTAAAGTTTTCATTCCCTTTCCAAACATTTTAGCTTCAAATTTTAATAGATTGTGATTAGGATATTAAAAGATTGCATGCATTAAGAAGCATATTAAAAGATTATGATTAGGATATCAAAATTGCTAATGACTACCTAGATAACATCTTAGTCTATAAACTAAAATAATTAACCGGCTCCATTAGTCAATCAGATTAATGAAGGAACCATCAATTAGAAAAGAGATCTCTTCATTAATCACATTTGAGTAAATAGTTGTTGGAATCATTAGGGCTAGGGTTTGGGGGAGCGGGAGGGTGGGGGGCTGGAGGAGGTCCGAGAGCGTACTAGTTGAGGTGGTTGTTGACGCGGCGTTGGGAGGTGAGGAGGACGTACGCGAGTCGGCGACGGAGAGGATTTGGTCAGGGCGGTCGTCGGAGAGCTTGGGATCTGTGTCGAGGCTTGAGCGGTCGATGGCTTGCTCTGGGAGGCGAGGAGGACGTCGGTGACGGCGAAGATTTGGTTGGGGTTGGTTGGGGCGGTCGTCGGAGAGCTTGGGAGTTAGGATCAGCATCGAGCAGTCGAGGGCTTGCTCGGCTAAGCACTTGGATCCAACAAGGTCGCGGTCGAGAGAGGCGTATTAAAAAAAATTCATTTTCTAGCCATGGGCAGCTACCTAAGGCAAGCTCTGCACAGCTACGCCTCTGCATGCATAGCATAAATAACTAAAATCTATCCGAAATTAGTTATCAACATCCTTCAGTATATATATGCAAGAATCATCTTGAAAAATAACATTGCAATAATAATGATGAGAAGCCATGAAAGGAGAAGGAGATAAAAAGAGCAAAAATGGGCAAAATAAAGAATGTTTTTATTAAAATACTTTCTTTTACAATTGAAAGTGCATGAAATAAACTTCACCTCTCAAAGCACACACATTCAAGTAGATGGAAGGATGTACGAAAGAGATTCTTACATTATTTTTTAGTGACTCTAAAACTGCTGATGTGGGGTGATGTTTTAACTTTTCACCCCCACAGTAAATTTTCAACGGGATCGGACTCTAAGCCTTAGGCATATAAGTAGTTGATTCTTCCATTTACCACCGGGATCAATGCACCTCAATATTGCTAAGAAAAGTCTTTGTTGTTGTTGTTTCTCCTTCTCCATTATCTCCTCTACAATGGTTTAGACTTTATCTATTCTCTGCAATTTATATAGCATAGAGCAATCTAAGATACTTTGTATGTGTCATAAACTCCACTCACTCTTAATTGCATTCCCCTTATTGTGTTCCAAATCAATTGCATACATTCATCAAGAGACTCACGAAAACAAAGGAACATGAATGAGCAAATGTTGGTAAGAAAACGTTATATATACATGCACTTGGTTAGATATGAACATTAAAATAGGTACATGTATCGTTGGCTATCCTCCTTAAAATGGTCAATGCAAGAGGATGGATATGCTAATGTTCTATAGGTATACCGGTCTGATTGTTACTCTTATAGCGATAATACAACATATTTTATAATAAAAAAATGCTAACATATAGGGATTATATATGCTGATTTTCAATAGAAAAATGAGCCTATCATTAGATGCATGCTATGGGTTTAGATACGCGTATAATTATTTTTATAAAACATTTCTTTTATAAAGAATAGGGTATAATTTCGAAAGTAACTTCAGAGCCCATGCGCGCATTGCAATAAGAGTTTACCATTATTTGGACTATTTAACTGCACAAGGCATGTCCAAAAATTTTGCGCCCGTTGTTTTTGTTCTGAAAAATTATCCTTTTTTTTTTTCATTTGTCATTGTGTACGCAAATCCTTCTTTCTTTTGTTTCATCTTGCTGGAGCTCACCTTTGGGGGTTGCAACTGTGGGACATATTATCAGAGCCTGTAATTGCTTGTAGTTTAGGGAAGATGGCAAACAAGACTAAACTTGGGTTAACAAATCCTTCCTTAGATACCGTTTGACAAAGGGTTAAGTGGGAGGTTAAGGAGACTTAACATCTTCTTAACCCGCTTCTTAACCCGTCAAACATAAAAAAATCTATACAATGGTTAAAGTGAGTTAACCCTCCATAATTTACCAAATATAAAAAATATAGAATGGTTAAGCTAACCCCTCTAGAGGGATTAAAATGAGTTAACCCCTCAAAATAAGGGGTTTACTAATACTCCTATTTTAAAGGATTAAGAGTTAACCCTTCTATTTATAAAGAAAATAGTTAAAATTATTGTTATTCTCAAACACTAAAACTGATCACAATGGCTAAAATAAAACGTATTCAACGGGTTAATAATTTAGTCCTTCAGATTATTGAATGTGCTAAGTACATTAATCCTTCTCTTTAACCCCTCTTCCTTAACCCTTTGTCAAACGAGGCCATACAGTTTTTCCAGTAGCCTTAAATTTGGCTTGATGTGGGGTGATTTGTTAACCATTCACCCCACGTTAAAGTTAGCTCGGGATCGGACTCCAAGCCCTGAGAACTTACTACTTCAATTTACCATTAATATCAATGCTCCTCGTTGACAGGAATAATCTTTGCTGCTGTAGTTTCTCCTTCTTCATTATCTTCTCTATAATGGTTTAGGCTTTGCCTTATCCATTCAACTTATATTGCAAAGAAGCGAGCTCAAATACCTTGTACACGTCATTGATGCAAATCTTTTAGGATTCGTTCACTCTTAATTAATTGCATTCCCTGAATGGATTATAAATTATATTCTGTACGTTCATAAAGAGATTCGCCAAAACAAAGGAACATGAATAAGGAGATATTTGTGCAAAGCACCGTACGTGGGTTCATCTAGAAATGCACCTTAAGCTAGGTACATATATTGTTGACTATCCTTCTATTCTTAAAATGTTTATGGGCAAGAGGATGAACATGCCAATAATCCACTAGGTATATGATTTTACAAATTAACCTTACATTTATATCATAAAATATTTTTTGCTCAAGAACAAACTGTTTATAAAAAATTAAAAAAAAAAAAGGTGTGCATGCTACGAGTCCCGGGAACCCTGTGTTAAGTCGGAGACGAAGGCCGCAATTTGACGCAGTTTAGCCCGTGTGAGGTTGAGGAAAATTATGCATGGTATTTGCTCGATATTTATTTTGTTTTTATCATTCTTCCTCTTTTTTCTTTCTTTTGGTGGCCGGGCTATTGTCTACAAGACAAGGTTCTCATGAATAATAATCTTTCCGAAAACATCCATGAAGTAAAATAAAATCTCGAAATATGACATGACTTTTGTTTCAAGAGCGCAAGACATACAATATAGGCAAACAAAATGCGAAGCTCATTATATTTTAAGTATTGTACATAAAAATGATTGACGTTAATCAGTCCTCTTAAACGCTTGGATACACTTATAGCGTTGATAATCCATTGTGGAACTGAGCTTTTATGATTACATGAACCCCACCCCCCCCCCCCCCCCCCCCCGCCCGCCTCCCCCCCCCCTCATGAACATAGTTTGGCCTATTGTTCAGGTCCCTCTTCTTGGCGCAGCACCAGTAAGTTCGAAGAACCGATTTATCCCTTAACAAGCTCCAATAACCACATTTCTTGCTCAATGTATCTCGCTTCAGCTCTCGTTGTGTACTAGGATTTTGGATTCTGCTGAGTATGGCCTTTTAATATCAAAAAGTGCCATCGGCTGCAAGAGCATATATCACTGCGATCAATCTTGCCGCAAAATCTGGTACCAATATTGCTAGTAAACAAAGTGATAAATTTTAAGGTTTGCTACACTGCTTGCTCGTAAACTAGAACAAAGGATAAGATTTATATACTTACAGGTCGGGAGTTTCAAGGAGCAGCAAAAAGAGTTGTTGGCTTCTACAGTTTGGCAGAATTGTGTTCGAGCTACCTTTCCAAGGATGATAAAGACATCCCTTGCAAATGCGAACATGAAGAGGGCAGTCTGTTTGCTGCTGATTTCAAGCATTTTGTCAGCTCTTCTATTTGAAATGTCATCATGTAGACATCCTCCGTGTGAGTTCTTGACGACCAATCCTTGATTATCCTACAGAAACGACAGCACATGATGGACAAAATTTAAAAAAAAAGATAAAAATAAGCAGAATTGAAAGACCTGTCTTCGAGTATCCATCCTAAAGGAAATACAAGGGGGGAATGGATGGCAGCATTATTAACTCTTTAGTATGTGGTTAAAAACAAAACAGATCATTCATAATGGCACGCATGGCATAAATCATATTATGATTACTACAATATTTGCCTTTGACGTACAACTATTGGGAAAGACAATGGTGACCACATTCGGTTTGATATGCAATCCAGCTTTTCCATAAATTCAGCATAGCTGCTGTTATGTGGAAAAAACAAAAATATATTTCTAAAATAACAGCAACAATAATCAATGTCGGCCATTGCTGCCATCGAGGCCTGGCTCACTGGTAAAGGCAAGGGTTGGGTAATGGGTGGGAGGTCTCATGGTCTGGGCTAGGCTACAGCCCAAGCTAGATGGCAATAGATGAACATAAATGCAGACATTTATATTTTGTTTTCAATCATCTAAAAGTGAGACAAAGGCTAGACTACAGCAAAAAAACACATCTAAACAGTACAATACTACTAACATCATCTCAGAATATCATACTAAATTTGTCTTCTTAGATGCACAGAGAAGCATCTAATTTTCTATGGCTAAAATTATTCACATCAAATGTGTATTGTAACAAGAAAATTCCAAGGAAAATATCTGACCGCTCCAGCAAAAAGCACAAAGGAAAAAATAAATGCCAAGAAGAATACCTTGAAGAGGCTTCTGTGGCAGTACTACAGTCTGAAAACAGCACCTTCACTACAGGTTGCAGGTCTACTTCTGGCAGTGGTATCATTGTTTCATTTTCGCGGCAATAACCAATAGAACACCAGGATTCAGAATTTAAGAGGACTATTTGCAACATTGGTAACTTAGTCCTCAAATCCCTCAATACTACCCTGTGCGAAAGCTCGTCTTTTGCGCCTTCAAGCAACAAAGCAACAAAGATTCTTTCCAATGTGTACTTCCTGATAGGAAAAAAGTAGTGAAATTGACTATCAGGCATGCTAATGCACAGAGCATTGCAAAGAACAAAATCTTGTGAAAAATGCAACCATGAGGGTCCCAATGTGTTTTGCTAGGAAAACAATATTTTTGTGAGAAATGACAGTGGCTTGTACATATTGTTCTGAAATCGTTAATAGCCTTCTAGATTCAACGCCTTCCTAAATGTTGTCGGGCAAAAGTACAGTAGAGCTGGCAGCAGTTTCCTTGATACCAACAACAGTTGCTTTTTGTAAGAAAAAGAAACAAGTGATCCTTTCAATCACCCAGCAAGTACATTACTAACAATGCAAGATGCAAGCTCCTCTTCCCAAAACAAAATTTTTTCTTCTTGCTAAAAGCAACATAGGAAAAAAGCACAGGCTAACAGGACAGGCTGGACAGCAATTCATAACAAACATCAGCCTAAATATGCCACATTCCATCTAATTATGCAGATTCAAGCAAAGCAAAAAACCTAGAACTTCAGATGTCAATATAACTTATTCTCAGACCAATAAGTGGATATTAGTGTGGATGAGAAAAAAGTCCGCTATCCGTTGATGTATAGTATCTTAGTCTTGGATTTCAAAGGAGTAATTACACTCACTTGAGACTACTGATACCCAAACAGGCGAAAAATTATCCTAGTTCGGTTTATGCCAAAATGCAGGACTATAAATGTGTTTTTACCATGCTGGTATTAACGTGTCCAAGCAACATATTAGCATCTAAAATGTGCTACTTACCTGAATACGTCATGAGCTCCACCAACAGGAGTGCTAGTGGACAGGTAGCACTTAAATAGTCTAATTCCACCGTCCACTGGTACATTTCTATTTTTGTAAGATGGATATGCCCCCACTATAGATGAGCAGTTTCTACATAAAAACTCAACCCACTTGATGTCATCTGAAAGGTTTGGGATTCTATTCATAAATCCACTTCCAAGAGAACAGTCATGCAACCATTTCTGAATTTTCTCAGGCCCGGACTCTTTTGACAACTTCTGGGCGTTAGCATTTGTAAATAAATCGGTGTCACATTTGGCTTCATCAGTACAACAATGACAATGGCCTGTTGAAGATAATTCATCTGCAGACTGTAGAATAAGCTTCTCAAGGTTTTTAGGAACATTGTCATTGTTGTACCTCAACGAATCTGCAATGACCGTGCTCTGTGTACCATTCAAGCTTTGTTGAGGCAGAGAAGAATTTTCCATCAACAATGAGTCCTGTTCTCGAACAAATCCATTGCAATCTGGGGATAAAGTCATTCGGGAAGCCAAAGGATAAGTATGTTTTTCACGTTTACATGATGCTGATTCAAGATCGAGCGTCTTTTCACCCACCTCGTTATCAACACAAGTCGATGTTGCACAGACACAAGGAAGGTCTTCACTCTTATTCCTGCATCCTTCTTCCACATCCTTTGCATAATCATTAGGCTCTGTGTCAAATTTATAACTGTTGTCTATCAGTTCATCCGAGCACTTCTGAAATGTGTATCCCTCAAGGTCATCCTTGCAGATGATAACTGAAGCATAATCTAGCAGACATGTTCCTTCTGCACAATCATAAGTTTTGATGTATTGCAGGACCAATTTCTCGCTTATACCGCCAAATGAACAGCAGCATGCCCCAAACCAATTGTCAGCCACCTCTCTCCAGTTCACTGATGGCATCTCCATGAAACGTCTGAAATAGAAGAACTCCAAGGTTAATCGTATATCAACAAACGGCTTACATAAGTTCCATTAGATCTCAATAGTTTACTATGAGAAAGATAAATAAATAAATCCATTAATAAATTTATATCATCAATTGGACGTGTTCATTTTGGTAAGACCATAGGTTTGTAGTTGTTTTTTAAAAATAACTATTATTAAAAGAAATGCAGACCTAGCAACATTTTACGTAACTATGCTTGTAAGTATAGAGCAACTTATGACTATAGGTAGCTATAAAACGCACAGCAGGTGTTCAAGATTGCCACATATTTACCTGAGAGGTTCTTTTGTTAGTCTAGTTGAGCAGATTTTGCAGAATAAATGTACATCTCCAGAGGATAGATTCGTCAATCCTGTATTGTAATGCTCAAGGACATGTAAGAGTAATGAAAGAAAAGTTGATTCAACCTAACGCACAAGGGTAGACTCCAAGAGAATCTATCCTAAGAGGAAAAAGGGTAAATTGCATATATAACCCCTTTAGTATTGCTGTTTTGAAATTACTACCCCGGGCAAATAAACCCCTTGGGTTATAATTTTTTTCTAACTCTTTTAACCAGGTGAAATGGTAGTGAGTCTATTTTAGGGTCAAAGTCAAAATTTCACTCAAGGTCTATCTGCCAAGATAAAACCACATGCATAGTAACTTCAGAACAGCAATACTAAGAGGGTCTATGTGAAATTAAGCCCAAATAATCCATCAATCTTTCATAACTACTTAACTACTATATGCTGCCTAATGCTTATTAACAAAAGTACAACATTCAAATTTCAAACAAGTAATTTAG